GTCCCTCCTCCTCACTCTTCTCACTCTCCAACATTCTAAATCAGCAGCAGAACGAATTTCGCCTGAACTGTGATTAGAAGTCATTTTGCAAGTCTAAAATGCTTGCCAGCATTTTCCTATAATAAATCAGCACTTTCAGGGAGTTAAACTGGAACTTCCATTCTCTAATAAAACCCAAACTGACAGTGAGCCTCATTTGCAAACTGAAACAAAAAACGCTACATGTTAACAACTCTTTTTAAGAGGTTGGGGTCATTATCCAACATCACCCACGGGGTCAGAAATCCAGGATGACACTCCATTCTTCTAATGAGAGCAAATATACTCATAGATTTAGGTTAAAGCATCAAAATATAAACTATGCACTTTCAAAATGATCAAAGTTTATAAATAAATGGGTTCTTTGGAAGAAATTGTACTAAAATGTTTAAAACTGTGTGTGTAGGTGTGCACACATCTACATGTGTATCAATCCTTTTCAACAGACTATTCAGAGTCTGCACATTATAAAGAACAGAGAACTAAGTTAGATGTTAAAATCCTAGACTGTGCTCACAACCCTACCACTTACTAGCCATATGACCATGGCAGTGCATAGTATATAAAAAGCAGAGTCTATGGTGCTATGGAGTCCCCAGTTTAAAACTTGACTCTTCCATGTGCTATGCTAGCTATATAATCTAGTGTGTTAGTTAAGCTACCTGAACCTGTAAAATATAGGTAATGCCTACTCGATATGCTTTAAGGATTAGTGATATTTATTAAGCTTGTGGCAGGTGCTTTAGTAGTTCCCAATAATGGTAACTACTGAAGGTGTCTCTTTTAGAGCCCAGTTTGCTTATATGTGAAATGGGGAAAATGGCCTAAAGTTCTTTGGTACAGTGATGCACTGTGCCTGGGAAGGGATTATCATTAAGATGCAGATTACAACTAAAATGAATGCAGCTTGTTAGAGAATACACAGATTCTAGAGTTAGGTAGGAGACATGGGTGCTGATCTGGCTCTTCCACTAGGCTTTGGTTAAATGTGGATTATCTGTGCTCTTCAGAGCCAGCCCAGCAGAGTGAAAAGAGCACTCAACAGGGGCATGCATAGATCTAGGTACCATCTTCCTGAATCACTGGGGCTGTGATCTCCAACAAGCCACTTAACCCTTCCTTCTCAGCAAATTCTCATTGGGAAGTTCTCTGAATCCAGAATTACATTAGAGGATGAGGAGGAAAATAAAACATATAGGAAGTGACTATGGCTAAGAAGGAGATAGAAACTAGGACAGATATGGAGCAGGAGGAAGCACTAGGATCAAAGCAGACTGGATGAGACCACTGAGCTCTGAAAACCAGAGTTTTCAAAACACCAAGGTGGTTATGAGAGGATAAAGTTGATGTTTAATGTTCAGCTAAATCTCTGTAGAAACGGGCTATGCAGACCTGTGGGTTGAATATGGTTCCTCTTCTCAACAGTCATGAGACCTTGGGATGGTAATAATTTTGAAGTCTTCTTTCTCACCTGTAAAATCAGAACAACCTACCAAATAGGGTTGTTGGCTGGATTGAGATAGCACACATGGAAAAGCTAGTAGACTGCCTGGCACACAGGAGGTGCAAAATAAAGTTGTTGTCATATACCACCTCAATACTTCTTCCTAATGTGACGCTCTCCAAACTCAAGGAGCAGGAAATAGTTAATTACTATCTTTTCTCAATTCGAAGCCACCAGTGAGGTTCCTGATGTGCATTGTGCTGCTCTGATACCACAAGTCAAGTAAATTTTCCTCAGGCCACTTAATGCACGTTGCATCAATTTTTCACTTGGCTACTTCTTTAGGCTTTCCCTTTTCACAGAACAACTGCCAGAGAAAGGCTCAATCTATTATGAAAAGGGTGGTTTGATCCACTTGAAAAACAGAACTGTTCTTTTCTCCCCTTGAGGATCTGAGAAGTTTCTCTATGCATTACTGTAGACAAGGGTGTGAATCCAACCCCCGCTCAGGGAAAGACTACAAGGAAACTCCCTTCACACAGGTGGTGTTTAGTCCCCACTAGTGGTGCAGTTTCAGAAACTCCAGAAGGGAAACCTTCCCACCTACGCCTTAATGACTGAGAAGTATTTCAAGGGAAAAAGTTTTTCCCACCACAATGGTAACTCATTGATTCCTGTTGAGAAGAAAATAGTCATGGCCATATACAAGGTACTCACATGCTAGGCTGTGCTGAACTAAGGGTAAGTGTCCTTAAACAGGTGCCTGGGGTATTAATTTACAAGGAGTAACTACATGTCATTGGAGTAATTGGAAATTTGGTGCCAGTTAACTCAGGTTTCCACATGTAATTCCTTATGTTAGCAGCCTAACAAATGAAACTTGGCCCTTTGCCCATTCAGCATATGGAATAAGTCTCTTACTTTAAATTTGAAACTGTGGCAAGAAACTACCTTCTAGAAAGAGAGAATCTTGATAACTGGGAGACATGTATTTTGGTGAGCATAAGTAAAGCATCATCCTTGGAATAACAGGTATTTCATATTCTTGAAGATGGGAGTTAGTAGTAGGTGAGGCTAGGTGGGGGACAAAGAGAGTAGGATGCTTTGAAAGGGAACAAGAAGGGAGACTTAGCAGCTGACAGGCCTGCTCACAAGGCCTGGGAGGCTGATTGTCAGTTGGGGATATTCAACAGAAATGCCGTGAGCTGTAAAAACTCATATTCCCTACAGCCCCTAGGCCCACTTGTCTTTCCGCTAAATTATCTTTAACTCTATCTCATTCTTGCTAGATAGAGTTTTAGTTTTGGAAAAAGGAATACAAAGATAGTTAAAAGGTTCATGATTGTTTTTTCTAACAGAACACCGGTTTTCCCATTTCTGCCAAAAACATGTTGAATAAACATTCTAAGCATGTTCTTTTAAAGGGGTACCACACTCTTACCTGCCCAGGGTGCCCGCATAGTATGGTCTGATCCTGGTGCCAGGAACCATATGGGGCTTTCTATGTGCATCTCATTTGAGATAGAGTTACTGATATTAAGTGAGGGCCAATGAATCCTTAAGATCTTACCTTGGGGGCTGCGTTTGATAAAGGCAAAGCAAGGCAAGGAGAAACTGAGTATAGGAGCAAGAAACTGGATGCTGTGGTTTAAGGACCGTATCAGGAAGGAGAGGCTAGGCTCCAAAACAGTAATTGCAGGGGCAGTGCTGATTCATAACTTTGTAAATCTTTTATACCTGCAATTGTGAGGCCCACACTCCATGAGGAAGAAGGTTGGCCAAGATTTACAAATGCTGATAAACCTAAAAATGCATTTCCACTCTACCTAAAGAGTCTAGGACTGAGAAGTCACTGCTCTTGGCAAATAAGTGATTGGTAATCTGTGTAAGAGAAATTACCAGGACAGGCAGAAACTGGGACATGTGGAGAGCTGGACAGAAGTGGGTTAAGAAGTGAATAGTCAGTGAAGAAACAGGACTGACCAGAAAGTTTGGTGTTAAAGGAAAGCAGAGAGAATCTGCGATGGCTTCGCAGGTAAGTAAGATAGGCATGAATCTTTTTCTCCAAAAGAATCTGGAGTTATATTTACCTACACGGGGGTGCTAGTGGCATGCTTCTATTTGACATTTTCTCCTCTCAGCAGCAGAGGGAGGTAGAGAGTAAAAAATGATGTGGGTTGAGCCCTATAGGAATACAAAGGGATCCAAAATGGAAGGTGTTTATCATAAGGAAATTGAAAATCTCACGAGATGACAGGCAGCTCTATAGAATCTCTGCTATTTAGGAGGCAGAAAGACGTAACTTGAGTCTAGGGGAAGATGAGAAAACATGGGATAAAGAGATTTGCATTTTAAAAAGACTATGCATGTGAAAGAGGCCTTTTTGGATCCTTCTTTAGCATGTCGATGTAGGATCTTATGTAAATATGGGACTTGAGTTTGAGGTCTGGCTTTGTGCATTTTGGGTAAACTGCTTTTCCCTAGACCTCAGGAATGAGGGTAACAAAGAACACCAGGTGGGAACAGAGGAGAAGGAAACAAATCATAACAAAAGTTGCAGCTCCAGAGAATGGAACCCTGCCCTCAACAGCACCGGAGTCTCTCCCTTCCAGTCAAGCCCTTTACCACTTTTTCAAAAAGCCATTTTGAAATGTGGAAGTGAATGCTGAAGCACATGAAGCCACAATTATTGCTGTGTTTAGGGGGGCATGTCACTGCCCTGCAGACTGTTAGCATATAACTTCAGCATCTCAAAGCACCTAGCAGTCCCTGAAAGGCTGCTAATGCCTGGAGGCAGGCACTCACTTCATTTCAATAGACTTCCCATTCCTGAACCACTTAAGAGATGGGGGAAGCCTTTCTTGAATGACTTACTGCATTTTCAGAGAATATGGCCAGGGAACAATTAAGTTACTTTTCTTCATAATCTGATTCAGTCTATATATATTCCATCAAAGTTCTGGCTATCAGCTTTCTAATGTGGTCCTGAAACTGTGTGCGTGTGCGTGTGCGTGTGTGTAAGAGATGGAGAGAGACTGTTTTCTATCGAAAAGTTCAAACTATCATGTACATATTTTATTCAGTAATTAAATTTTTTCTCCTTTGACTAAACCATCTCAGAATTGTCTGTCTTGCAGTTCTTTAGCTTTTGCTTACCTGGTTCACAATTCAGTGTTAATGTTAAACAGGAAATGGAGAAACAGACACCAAGAAGAAAGGAGATGAGGTGTTCTATGAACATTGTTCCCTGAGTAATTCCAAGGAAAGATGGGCCCACTTGTCAGAGATCTACTGTCCCTCACAACCCATGTATTCTAGGATCCACGCAGCTCTTTTCAGGTGCTTGTTATTTTGTGGCCATGGTAGCATATTTTGAAAACTCATACCACTGTTATAAGATTCATATGTAAATCTGAAATCTATCATTTGGTGAATAACAGTACGACGGTACAAGGAAGCATGAGAAGAGTGAGGGAATCACTTTTGGAACTTGGTTAAAATTAGTACAGTCAACTTCTTCCAGCATTTAGTGTTTTTATTTGCCATTTGTTATAAAAATTGGATCTTTATTTTACACAAAAGGTACTTTAAAAACAGTGAAGTTTACCAAAAGCTACTGAATCTGCGGCAAAGGGATTTACCACCAAAAATGCAGATTTACACGGTAAACCTGAGGGCCAAAAATATTGAACAAAATCTTCCATTTTCTAATAATTCATTACCAGAAGCAAAAACAATTGTGCACAGATAAATATGTGAAGGTTAACAAATGCTAGTTTTCACTCTTGCACTAACCAAAGAAAATGTCTCTATTCCAGATTGGCCCATTATTTCACTGAGTGAAGTATTTGAAGAATTAAAAAAAAATCTTCTTGTAAACGTTAATATTTAAACACAACATATACATGCATGAACACATCCATTCTAACTCTATACCCCTTTGTATTCTTAAAATTGCACCATCTCTGCTAGAAATAATGTACAACATGCAGAAGGCATTCATAATTGTTTTTCTCAGCAGTAGTGTATTATACAAGTCAAATGCAAAAGTTAAATATGAAATTAAGCTCAACTGAAAGCCATCTCAATTCAGTACTTTGGCTCATTATTCTATGTTAATGCTTTAGTGCTGATGAAATTATTCATATTAAAAATTTGATGAGAAGGTAGCCTGTTACCAAAGGTATGCAGTAGATAGCTCCCTGTGGATACAGAAGTGATGGACAAGAAACAGAAGGAAACCAATTAAATAGGACTGCAGGTTTTCACTGCTTCAGCTTTTCACATCCAGCTGAAAAGAAATAATTATATCGAGGGCATTCTGCAACAGTAATTAGTTTACACTATTTCAAATATATATAATGACTTCATAATCCAAACTGGAATGCAAAATAACTCCTTCCCTCTCCCACCATTCTGTCTCTGTTTCCAAAAAGAAATAAACAGATTCTGATGTAATGTACAGTTACTGAAAACAAAACAGTTACATTGTCCTGCTTTGGGTAGAGATCAGCTGTAAATACTGCAGGATGGGTAAAATAAAACTACTCAATGAGACATAATTATAGGCAATGGCTTCCTCCTAAATAAATACATGCTCAAATATCATTGCAAATCTTCTAGCATAAATATATTCTGTTAAAGTGCTGATCAAATTTAGTGCAGTAGGTGAGTGAGTAAGAAAAACAACATACCTTATGTGCACAGGATGATGCTAAGAGAATGTGAAGATGGAAAGATGAAAGAAAATTTTATTGAAAACGCAAGAAAATAATGTTAAGGCCACAGAATAATTGTTTGATTATTTTAATGGTTTTTGAACCCATCAATATTATGCAATATTTTAATTAAACATAAAATTTTAATCACAAAACACTTGAACAGAAAAAAAATTTTTTCACTATCAAACAATGTTATGCAAATACATCACTGCAGTGCACCACAGCACACCTATCGGAGCTATGCCACAGCACTGAGATACTGAGGATCTCTATTTACCCTGTTTAACATAATGTGAAGTGACATAAAATAGTGACATACAGGAGAAAGAAATTAAGACTGGGAGTGAAGAATGAAAATATAGTATCTATGTGCCACACAGATGTACCCTGATGTAAGTTAGGAAAAGAACACTACTCCTTTACTGGAATGCTCAGAAACACTTAGGTTCTCAGATCAAGGTTGAGCATGTGATTTCTTTTAAATGTCATAACTTAGGGAATACAGCACTTCATGACTAATGAATTAAAAAACTTGCTATCCTACTATTTAATCTACAACCTCCTGCAATTTTGGGGAAAAAACTCCACTAGATATATCAAAAAATAATATTATAATTTACATACATGAAGTATGTGTGTCTGTGTGTGCATGCAAATAAAAGTAACCCATGCCATTACTACCATAAGCTATGAATTTTGTTCTGAATAACCTCCACATTTATTTTTTGGAAAATGCATATGTATTCTTGAAATCAAATGCCAACGAAAGTCTCATAATTATAATTTAACAAACTTAATTGTCTTTATTTAAAATTCTGTTAAGTGAATACGAACACTTGTGAAATAAAGATCTGCTCCAACTGTACGGTAAAGGTGGTATTAACACCCTATTTTTTATGTGAAGTAGTAGCCTCATTGCTCCTTGCATCAGGGCTACCTTGTCTCAAAAGCGACCTAAACACTGGCGTATAAGGTTTAAATTAAAAGATGTAAAACCATGGCATCAAAAACAATATAGATTGCACCAATAATTATACCCTAGTGTGTGGAAAGCAGTTTATAATATTTATTATTAATCCTGCTAGTAAATTCCTCTAGAAATTTATGTAGGTGATAAGGAAAATTTAGCCAATGACTTTTGCAGTTCAACCAAACCAGTGACGAGCCATGGAGAAGTTCGTCAGGTGAATGGTAGCAAATCTGAATTTTGTTTTGAAAATTCCTCCTATAAAAGAGGGTGAGATTCTTTCATACAAATTCTAGCTAGTTATGTGGCCAAAAACGTTTAAGCACTTTTGGCATATTCATGTCCAAAACTTAATCATATACCACACTGGAATCAGTATACATGATAATTCTATTGTGAAACACTAAAATAAACATCAACTCACACTTAAAAAAAAGAAAATAACAACAAAAAACATGGATATAATTAGAATCTGTTTTCTGAAGTCCTAGAAGTTTCATCAGTTATACCTGCTTCCCTGAGAGCTGAATGTTCTGACTAAAGGCAAGTTTTGGTTAAGTCATTTATTTTTACACTGTTCCTTTCCATTCAGAATAAACAATAATGTGTGAGGCAGTGTGTTTGGTGTCCTATATTCCTTATAGCCAATATTATTCAAATTTCATTTGATTTGAATAATTCCTTTCTCTGAACTTTAGTGCAGGAGTGTGTGGCAGGTGAGGGAAGCTCTATTTGCTATGCTTTAAAGACTCACTTTCATCTTTCTGGAACAAAGCAAGAGAAAACATTTACCACGCACCACAATTCCATATACACAGTACTGTTTACCTATAGTGCTTTCCCGTTTTGTGTAGGTGCAGTTAATACATTTCTTCATAGTTATATCCAAAATGAAGAGGTGGCATCATAATGCCTAGACCCTTAGGGAAAAACACATTAAAGATGTACATTTCCCAAAAATGAGTCAGTTGATTTTATTCATTAAAAAATATGCATAATAAAAGGCCAAACACAAAGCTCTTTATAAAAAGGAGCAAAATGTATTTTCCAGAAGAGTTAGATAAAGGCATGAGATGAATTTCAGTTAAATGGATCTATTTCTTTGTGGGTTTTGAGAGCTCATTTTAGACACTGAATAGAGGCTGTTTTACATTATAATCACAGCTAGAGATTACGCAGATGGAGGGGAAAAAAAGTCTTTTGCTTTAACTCTTACTAAATTTCTGTATTTTAAAATTAATTTCAAAACCAAATGTGTACCTCTCCCCTCTATCACAGTTTTTGTAAGTAATTAAGAATTGTACCCGTACGATTGCACAGCGACTAGGGAAGAGAGAGGTAGATGATTCGGCCACTCTCTCACAAGGTAAACCCCCAAATACTTTAGGGCATTAAACACAAGGCTTTTGTTATCCAAAAGTAATTAGTTGCAGAGTACAAAAACATTTTGGAGCAGAATGTACACAAACATGAGAGTCATAAACAGCCAAAACCAAGTACACTAAGTTCATAAAGAAATGCATAAATTCTATGTATCTTACAAAAACAATCCTCACAGATTTTGAATCCAAGATTATACAATAGAAAATATTTATATGTTTTACATTTAATATAAAAATTCTTAACAAACAAAAAAAGGCCTTGATGATAGACAAGAAGAAATTTTGGGGAATACATTAATTTTCAGGATGCCCCAGGGATAATACATCTTAAATACTCAGCTCCTGTTCTAGGCAAAGGCCAAATGCAGGCATTTTCTCAGGGTCATCATTGGTGTTGAGAAAACCAGGTTAAGGAAGACTCAAGCAAGCTGGGAAAGGAAGTAAAAATTAAGCCAAAAACGAATTCTGCCAAGCACAATACACCCCATCTAAAAAAATTTAGGAACATAAATCAAAGACAGTGGTGAGTATACATCAAGACAATTCATATTGATGAGTTTATGTTCTTGGTGATAAATATCAAAACAGGAAGTCAGTTAAAACAAGTGTGCAAATAAGTAATGGGGACTGGGGGAAGAAGAGGAGAGAACACCTATACAATCTTGAAGGCAAACACTGGAGGAGGAATTCAGTCATTTCATAGCTCCCAGTCCACCCTCGATGTGCATTTCTTGCAACATCTCAATAAGTTAAAGAACAATTATTCACAAACTTCAGGTTAGTGTTAACAGTTTTTACCTGGTTAATTTAGGGCTAGACACTGAGTTGCTTTAATAAGACATTTAGTTATGGTTCATCATAATAGTCACCCATTCTTCATCTCTATTAACTTAGAAAATTACACTTCTCATTTAAAGCCCTGGAGCATTATTTTATTTTTATTTATTTATTTTTTTTGAGACAGAGTCTTGCTCTGTTACCCAGGCTGGTGTACAGTGGCACAATCTTGGCTCACTGCAACCTCCACCTCCCTGGTTCAAGCAATTCCCCTGCCTCAGCCTCCCAAGTAGCTGGGATTACAGGTGCATGCCACCATGCCCGGCTAATTTTTTTGTATTTTTAGCAGAGATGGGGTTTCACCAGGTTGGCCAGACTGGTCTCAAACTCCTGTCCTCAAGCAATCTGCCCATCTTGGCCTCCCAAAGTGCTGGGATTATAGGCGTGAGCCACCATGCCCAGCCGAGCATACTTTTAAAAATGATTTTGAAACATGGGTCTCTTTTCTTTAAGTCAACATTTGTCTAAGCACGTCTGTAAACGTTCTGTTACAGGGAGAGGAAGAGTATTGAGCAAGTTCTCCTCAACAATCAGACAGCTCCGTTTTAGGGACTGACATCCTTCCAGTTCAGGAGGAAGTGTTTCCAGGTAATTACCAATGAGCTCCAGATGAGTAAGGTTGGACAGCTCACCCACGTGAGGGGACAAATTCATCAAGCTATTTTTCCCCAAAAGTAAACATTGCAGCTTTTTGCACTGAAACAGCCCATCTGGTAGCATCTCAATCTAGAAAGGGAAGAAAAAAGAAATTGGTAAAATAGATTTTTGGTGTTTTATGATAAGACATTTACCTTTTGCCCAAAAACACATTTCTGGAGGTTTATAAGTGATGTAGACTACAATGATGATAAATTTGAAGCAGATGAAAAGATAGAGGGAAAATAAAGACAGGAGTACAGCAAGGAGTGAGGACTGTGGCTACCTTGGACACCTACATCCTTGCTGTATATGGGTGGGCAACGAGTTTGGTTTTAAACACTCTAACAAGCAATTCTTAAAGAAAATGTAGTTATACACACATTGTCGTTAAGATAAAAAACAAACCAGTAAGAAGAAGAATAATTACTCTTGAGTCCTAGATCAGAAATAAATCACCCTCAAGAGTCTTCATAAAACGTTTACTGTGTAATGTAATGAATAATACCCTTAAAAACATCCTAAGATCCTGAGAGCAGACTGAGAACTTTATTCTCTTTTTTAAAAAAGCCTACAGAAGTAGAAGCAAAAAAACATGATTATATATACATGCACATTTCATTCCCTTCTACATACACATACACCTGAATATTTACTCTTGTTCCTTCCCTCTGGCATGGTTTCAATTAAATAATTTATAATACAGAGATAATTTTAAATATAATACATATTATGCAAATTAGGTTAACTCCTAAAGCTGCTCACGTTGACTGCTCCCCTATATGGTAGATAGGTTGTATGTCGATTTCTAAGGGAGCCACAGTACATACAAGAAATAGGGTTTATTGAGGAAAGACCTCCAGAGAAGTTGTTGAGCACATACACAATCCCTTCAACCCATCACTTCACTGAGGGGTAAGTCTGGCCTCAGCATAGATAGACTGCACATACCACCGCCCCCCACCCCCATAATACTTTACATATTGGCTGGGGACAGGGGCCACCTACAAAACTATGAAATAATGTAGGTTCCTTGGTTCAAAAACTGGCTTTGTTAGAAACAGGGATAAAAAGGGCACTCAGGGACTTGGCCTATATCCTCTGATGGGCTAATGCAGACCTGATGGGAGACAAGTTTCTAGGGCCATCCAGAACTGTCTCTCCTCAAAAGGATAAATAGCTTTTATATAAGCTAAAAAATGACCAAATTCCATAAAAAATGTTAATGATGTTGTAAACTCCATTCTCCTACATCACCCCTCCCTCTAACACACATTCAGTGCTGTATATCCTTAAAAATAAATCTAATTACTGTCACTGCTAAGAACAACATTCCATATAGATCGACACTGTACACTAAAATATTAGATATAAACAAAGGGAAAAATATCTACCCTTTACTTTCATTTCCAAGAGCAATACAAACCCGACATATGCAGACCTATATTGAGAGATGAGGCAGAGAGATGAGAAGAAATGCAACCTCTTTCTAAGGCAAGCCCTTCTGCACAGAGGCACCTGCAGCTCAGAAGTAGAGTCAGTGATGTCCAAGTGGAGAAAAAATCAGTCCTTTACAGTGTGCATTATTAAGAGTGCTTGTTGGTGCCTATGAAATGACTCAGGCAAACTGGCTAAAAAAGAAATTAGGCTTGGCTCATTTATATTCAGTGAGCACGTGCTGAGTGCCTTCTGATGTGCCTTCTGATGTGCCAGGTTCCCAGCTAGCTGCTGGGATAAAGTACTGAGTTAGAAAGACTGCCTTTGAAAACTAGCCTAATAATGCAGGTCACCATTGACATCTCAGCCTCAGCATTGTTGACATTCTGAGTGGAAAAATTCTTGCTGTGGGGCTGTCCTGTGCAGTGTAGGATGTTTAGCAGCATCCTCAGCCTCTACCCACCAGTTGCCAGTGCCACTCCCCTTCCCGGTTGTGACAACTAAAAATGTTTCCAGACAAATGTCTCTTGGGAGGCAAAATTATTCCCAGTTGAGAAGCACCAGTCTCACGGAAGAGAGAAACATTAAACAATTACACAATTGTCTGTAATGAGTGGTATGAAGAAAAGTACCCTAACCTGAACTGCATTAGGGAATTCCATATTTCCCTTCTTCAGTCAGCTTCAGATTCCCAGCAAGAACCTCCTTTAACTGGACTGATTTCCTACTGGGTGATTACCCTGAAGCCATTGCCCTCACTCTCTTGTCTGGTTATCAGCACTACCACATTCCCACCAGTCTCCTTTCAAATCTCTACATCTGTGATTTCAGTGGACTTCTCAGGCTCCAGCAGAGGAAAGGGATTTCCCAAGGCAGTGGGAGTGAGCCTCAGGGCCAGTCCCTTAGCATTGCTGCTGTGAATGTGAGTCAAGAGCTACGCTGACGAAACTCCTCCTATGTGCAAGGGTCCATCTCCAGGGCTTTCTCTCCAGCTCTCTGCCCAACTACGGCACAGGATCTTACCTCACCTACTCTCATTCAATTTTTCTAAATGAGCCTGGAGAGTTTTGTTAAAGACTCAAGACTTTCCTTCAACTCAGCAATTGTATCCTGAAAAATCTACTTATAGTTTTAAAAATAGTTTGCCTTGAAGCTTACAAGAACTCCAATTTTGCCTGGGTCAACAAATTTTATAAAAACAAATTTTATAAAAAATGTTGGAAAACAATTACTTAAAACTAATTTATTTAGCATGCCCTTTCTTAGACTGTATAACACATGAGCCAGAGAGCAAAATATTACCTTAGTGGATCACTGATTTCTTCTAAAAAACCAATGAGAAAGCTTACAGGCTATTATGGGGATGACATACTTTAACAACAAAATGGTTTTATGGAATAAACTATAATATATAATACACACATACATAAACTATATAATAAACTACAAAATAGATGACAACAACAAAAACTAATGGCTATGTAATCTCTCTACATCCTAGAATTCTCTGACAACCAAATGTCTTCAGCAAAATGAACTGAAGTCCCCGAGAACAGGATGCTTTTCTTTTACATCTATGGCTGACATTGTAAATTAAATACCCCCGCTTTTTCCCAGAGGCTGGGATCTTACTTTAGAATCCTTCTCAATACCAGATTTCCTTTTTTTTTTCCTGGCCAATGACACATGCTATCTTGGGAAATGCTTACCAAACCCTAAAGTCCAATCATTTCAAGAAACACAGCTGAATATTTCTAAGTAGTGATGCCAAAAACAACAAAACTCAGTGTCACACAGATGATCTTCAGAAGGAATTTCTACATTATTCATCTTCTGGCTAGAAGTCTTCAAACTAATGTAAGGGGAAAAAAAAAAAAAAAGCACAAATGTGGAAGTAAGAAGACCTAGCTGTAAACTGGACTGGTCTAAGATTTCAGCAAACCTAGTTCAAAGCCTTGTGCTTCTCTCCATTCCAATCAATGCCACCATAATCCAATTACTCTTTGGCACTGCGATAGGGATGGATCTTGGCCTCCATTTCTCCCACCTTCCACGCCCACCCGCACATACTGTTCCCCATGTAAAATCACTTGGATTGATCCAACGAGACATAGTAGAAGAACAGTAGAGTAGAAATCAGAATGTTTGGGTTCCATCCTAGCCCCCTTGTCAGGAAACCAGACCTCAGGTGAACTGCTCTGAGCATCAGTAAAATAAGGGAAGTGGACTAGAGTAGGGGCTGGCAAAGTTTTTCTCCAAAGGACCAGAAGAATAAGTATTTTAGGCTTTCTGGGCCAAGAGGCAAAACTGAAAATATTATGTAGGTCCTTATATAATAGAAAAAAAATTCCATACATTTTTAAGTGATGAAATTCAAAATATAACAATTGAATATCATTTTGTTGTAATACAGGCCCCCTAATAAGAAGAATGGAATCTATTTGTGAAAATTGAAATTTGAATTTCATATAATTTTCATGGGTCACAAAATATTCTTTTGATTTTCTTCCCCCAACCATCTAAAAATGTAAAAACCAATCCTAGCCTGGGCTGTATAAAAACAGGCAGTGGGTAGACCTGACCCCCAGGCTGCAGTCTGCGGACTCAGTGTTCCTTTCAGGTATGAGAGTCTTTGTCTCTTGTTTTAAATCTGTATTCCTACTTCTAAATCGTAACTAATTCAACCTTTCCATGGGGTTTTGTTTCTTGGCTGTCCTCTCACAAGCCTTTCATATGCTACAATCAGAGCCTCCTTTGAAGGTACCAGTTCAGGCTAACTAGCACTTTCAAGCTCAAGTCTTACCCTAGTCACTATCCAATGAATCAAACATGAATTTGACCAGCAGATTTCCAGGCACTCTCCATTCTGACCCACCTTACTAAATGGTCTCATCTCTTTGTACATCTGGGCACGCTTATTTCAGTCCTCTGTGGATGACCTCTATTTTTTAACACTTCCCTAATCCAGTGTTCTAGGGTATGCTTCACAGAACACAAGAGTCACTCTATAAAAAAAGTGTCTTGCTCAAACACATTTGGCAAATATTGCATACCATCTCTCGTTGGAGAAGCACAACGCATATTCATATGTTAAAGGCTCTCCCGCTCAGTGAATATCTGCCACCCAGGGACTGCCGAATACCTTCCCATGTCAAGGTAATTCCCTACCTTATGAGTCTTGGTGGGTAGTAGAGCTCACTTCCTACTAGAGAAACTATCACCACCAGATTCTTGTGTTCTCAGCTCTCTTACAGCCACAATGTGGGCATTCATTAGCTGTGCCAATCAGCTGCTCAGACTCGGACTTTGAATTGGGGCTAACATCACAAAGAAGTCGAAGCCACGAAGAATCTATTCTGTGGGAGGCCCAGGGTCACAAGAGCAGCAACGTCAAGTTTTCAGGAACAGAACCAGTGCTCTGAGCTGGTAAGGTCCTCGGAAGTGTATCCTCACCATTGTGCTTTTCCGCTATGATTCTGGCTACAGTCCTCACTGCTGTCTTACTTTGTGCCTGTTTTCCAAGCTTACTTTTGCAGTCTTTTCAGTGGTAATATGAGATACCCAATATCCTTTCAACTAATGTCTTTTCTGCTTACGAGGTAGTATTTGTTGCCTCCATCTATAAACCTGATACACTGCCCAAGTCTTGAGATCAGACGTTTAAAATGCATGCTATAGGAATCTTTATCAACTGCCATTCCACATGGATTAATTGGCTTGAATTTCTGAGTATATGCATATCTAACTATGTATGCAGCCAGTGTGATATTTTCTTTTTTTCCTTTTTTGAGATGGAGTCTTGCTCTGTCGCCCAGGCTGGAGTGCAGTGGCGTAATCTCGGCTCACTGCAACTTCTGCCCCCCGGGTTCAAGCGATTCTTCTGCCTCAGCCTCCTGAGCAGCTGGGACTACAGGCACATGCCATCATGCCCGGCTAATTTTTTTATTTTTAATAGAGATGGGGTTTCACCATATTGGCCAGGCTGGTCTCGAACTCCTGACCTTATGGTTCAATATTTTGGTCTAACTCAGAATCATGAGACTCTCAAGGTTGGAAATAATCTTGAAATTCATTAAATCCCCACATGAAACATGAATTTCTGATGCCCTTTAATAACCCTCCTGCTGAGTATCTGGCAGTCCCTGTCTGGAGAGTTTTATTAATAAGAAAATGACTTTTCCCTCCTCAAATGCTCATTCAATCTTTGGATGCTTATGGGAAAGATGAGAAATCTTTCCCTGCTGGCCCTAGTTCTCTCCATTTGCCCTAAGTTCTAACACCGTAGTTATTCCCAGCAAGTTTTACTCTCCATGTAAATTTTTCAAATATCTGAAGACCAATATTGTGGACGATTCTCCCTTCCCACCTGTACTTCCCATCATGAGGCTAAAGTATTCCATCAGAGTTTTCATCTTCCTGGTGGCTGTCCTCTGATGAGTTTTAGTTTATTTATATTGTTGTTACATAGTCTCTGCACAGTGTTTCTTTGACTCTAAGTTCACCAAAGATGTCATGTTCATCATTTGGGCTCCAAAGATGCTCAGCAACTACTTTTTTCTCAGATTTCTGGGACAACTCACTCAAAAAGATACCATTCTATTTTGGTTATAAAGTATTTTCAGCATAAGACTTTTCTTGTGGTACAAAGTATCCTTTCTTATTCAAGAAAGCATGTGTCTGATATTCACACTTATTCTTCAGATATTGTCCAGGATTCCATTCCATAAACTTGTGTCAAAAGTACTAAGGGTCTTAAGGTTTCTTTATTACATTAACTCGGTGAAAACATTCACCTGCTCATACATTTAAATAATACATGGCCAGCTAACACCTGAATAAGCTGCAACTTTCAAAAATCCATTTTTGAAAGTGATTTAACTGTCTGTAACTGCTTAGTGGAACCAATGCCTTTAAAAATATTATTTATATTTTTATTAAAATTTAACAATAAAAAAAGTGAGCAAAATATTAATATTAATCATGTGCCTAATTAAATGGCACTGATATACTTCTAGACCTGTGATTTTCAGAGTGCAGTCACTAGGCCAGCATCACCAGCTCCACCTGGGGACGTTTTAGAAATGCAGACTCTTGGGTCTTACATCCGGCCTACTGAATTGGAAACCCTGGGAGCGGGGCTCAGGAATCTGTGTTTCAGCAAGCCCTTTCTGTTGCACACTGTTAATCTAGGTCAATCCTAATGTAGTTTTAAAATCTCACAAACTTTTAAGATCTGAAGATGTCTCATTTGTCTAACAATGGACTCGCTCCTTTTATATATGACTAAAGTCAGAGAGTTCTAAAAATCAGCATGAATTTTGCTCTCACCCCCCAATTTTCTGGTATTTCTCTAACACCCATGGTTTTCAAAAATAATGTATAACTAATATGTTTATTAGCCAACACGATGCTCATAACTATATTTACCATGACATATGAACTACAAAAAGTCTAAAAGATAATAGATTTTCTTTTTCTTTTCTTTCTTTTTTTTTTGGGCAGAGTCTCGCTCTGTCACTAGGCTTGAGTGCAGTGGCGGAATCTCAGCTCACTGCAACCTCTGCCTCCCGGGTTCAAGTGATTCTCCTGCCTCAGGCTCCTGAGTAGCTGGGACTTCAGGCACCCGCCACCATGCCCAGTTAATTTTTGGATAACATATTTTGAAGTGTGGTGGAACAGCTGTACCCATTTTCAAGTAGAGGAATGTCAGTTTCATCCCTTGGTAGATTTGATTTCTGACCAGGTTTTCCCTCTTTCTTCCAAAATGGACATTAGCCTCACTCTCTTACCTTTAGACTACCATGAATTTTTCCTTTTTCCTCCTCCTCCATATCTTAACCTAGGAAACTACTCATTTATTTTGTTTTTTCATGTTTTGGTAAAGTTAAGTTTTCCTTAACTTGGCTTTACTATTGCAAATTATGGTTCATTCTAAAGTATGGATCCTGAAAAAAGCTTCTAAGAAGCCATAGTGTTGCATTATGGAGGCAGGCCTTTCATTTTGAATCATCTTTCTAGACATGCATGCAGATTTCAAATCTTTTTCACAACGTCACAAAAAGGATTTATGAATAATTCATAATCCCAGCATTTTAAAATAAGAAGTTATTTTATTATGACAGATTTGGAAAGCGGAAAAGTTTTACCAAACTCCCTAAATACCTAAAACCTTCATAAAACAAAAAGTAAGCTCTACCATAACGAATTAAATAGTTTAAAATACTTTGTGATGTTTATGTAGAAAATTGGGGGAAAAAAACACAAAGAGAAAAACATTTGCTGAGCAACTATTATGTGCCAGGAATTGTGCCAAATGCTTATATGTTTTTTCATAAAATCTCCATGACGACTTGTAAGTTAGATTAAAAATGGATGCTCAGTGTTTTGGTAATTTATACAAGATCAGACTGGGCTTGGCTTGAGAACACATAGCATGATTTGAAGTGTGTTTGCTTGCCCTATGTAACACACTACAAGTGCGGCAGATACTGAACAAAAGAAGGAATGGATTTACTTACATTGTTGTTGGTCACAGCAAAGTACTGCAAATTGCTCAGATACTGGATTTCTTCTGGAATGAAGGTCAAGTGGTTATAGCTTAGATCCAAATAATGTAGTTTGGTGCATAGGAAAAGCTGCAAGGGCAGATTCTCAATATTATTATGGTCCAAAGAGAGCTGCTCGAGGTTAGATAATGCCCCAATCTGTGCAGGAATATAAGCAATGTTATTGTGCCATAACTTTAAGCAGGAAAGATTCTGAAGATGCTGAAAGCTAATGATCTCTTCCACAGTTTTAAGGTTGTTTTCCCTTAGGTCTAACTCATGCAAATTATTCAGGCTGAAAATGGAGTGTGGAATGCGTTCCAGGTCACAGCTGATCAGTTCTAGGCTTTTCAGATTGACCATCTTTTTCAAGTTGTTCAACACAACCAGTTTGCTTCCCTCATTATCAAGGGACAGTTTCTGCAGTGAAGGCAGGAGGTCTGTAACAACCTGTGGGATCCGGGAGAGGCTGCTCTTCAAGTAGAGGGTCCTCAGATTTTTTAAGTCCTGAAAGCCCTCCAACTGCATAGTACTCAACTGTTCAGGGAGAACACAGCCTGAAAGATAAAGTTCCTTGAGATTCTTGAGGTGAAATACCCAGCGTGGGATTTTTCCCATTTCAGTAAATTTCAGGCGGAGGATTTTTAAGTTCTCCTCTAGAAAGGCCAGTGCAGGATGGTCTACGACCAGAGATGAATGGTACACACGAAGCTCCTTGAGGTTGACCAGCTGTGAGACTGCAGAGGGCAGCTTCACCTCTGGGATAAGCTCCAGGCTTAGCACTTCCATTTCAGTTAACTCAAAGACATTGTCTGGAAGACCATTGAGCATAAAAAGATGCAGCTCTATCTTGTCCTGGGCATTTTTCACAAGCTTACTTTTCAGTTTCTCAACTGTCCATTCATTATTGAGGTTGATCTGTTTCAGTTTGTTCTCACTGACCTCTGACAGGAATATGGAGAAGCGTTTGGAATAAAGAGGATCATACTGATCAGCCAGATGAAGGATGAAGGCAAAGTCATTCTTGACATCAGGAATGTCACTGTAGTTGCTTTTTTCTCTTAACGCCTCAAAGGAATATTGCTTCAGGGAACTCCTCAGCATCCACCACAGGCTGTAGGAAGAGGTCAGACCGTAAAGTATAACCAAAATGACATAAAATGAAGCCAGGACCTTAAAGATTTCTGCCAAGGAATAGACACACTGGTAGCGCTTGTATCCTGTAAAAGCCTGCACATCAACTGAACAGTCGATTTCAAGAGTGATGTAGGTTAAAAAATATGGAACATAAGTTATGATGAGCACAAACAAAATGACTTTGACTATTATCTGTTTCAGATATACTCTATAAATGATGTCCTTCTGCTCCACGTGCATGCGGAATCTTCTCACTTTTTCAAAGATGGCTTTGGCCTGTTCACCCTCCTTCTTGTCCAGGACACTGGAAGTTGGGCTTTCTATGCCAGCTGACTCCAAACCTGGCTGCGGGTAGGGCAATGACTGTTTGCTAGAATCTATGTCAGCTGAACACCCTGAGGACGAAAGCAAAATCTTGGACTTGGAGAGTTTCAGAGGCCTCACTGACTGCTCGGCCACTGTTTCTGACAGGGCGCGGGTGGTCCATGGAGAATCGAAGCATTTGTGAAGGATGGCCACAAAATGCTCGAGCCTGGAACTGGTACTGGGGTAGTGAAGCCAAAAGTTGCTACAGGCTGCAAAGATGAGCGTGTGCAAGAGCACCAGGTAGGGGAAAAACTTTGCAAACCAATGGAGCTGTTTCTCGTAACAGACGGCATCGATATAGGAGTACTGCTGTCGGTGGAGGTCATTCTGGATTCGGAGGGGGAGTGGAAGCGGTGTCCCAGGATTAGAGGATGTGTTCATGCTGGCTTTCAGGATGTCCCAAGGCACGGCACAGTGATTGTCAAATTCCACTTTGCACGGAAGACAGCACAGAACCCTGCTCTGCGTCAGCTGGAGAGCTCCGGCCAGCACGGCCACCAGCAGCATGATCAGTGTGATGTAATACCAGAAGACGTCCCACCATGGTTTTAAGATGTGATAAGATGACTGGGCATCTGCTAAGCATTTTAGCTCAGTTAGTGTAATCATGACTTTCCCTTGTAGGAGGACAGAAACTGGAAGAGGAAAATAAACACTACTGAAGCAAGTACTCAAATCAGCATTTCACTCTAATGCTCATACACACATGCCCTCCCTTCCCAAGCAGGATTTAGCTCTGGGGTCAAACCTAAAAGGGAGAGCTGATCAAGGGGCACATAAGTCTTCTGGTTTCATTTGAAACCATAGGCCATCCAACTTTGAGCCATAGTCTCTTAGATGGGGGACCGTTTAGTGATAGTGACTAGAAAGAAATTTAGGGGGAGCTCTTGAGGTAATTATCTCATTACGTCTTGGATCTCAACTCCAGGCTAGGCTACTAAAAACCAGGAGTCAATCTGTCTTCAACGGACATTTGAAAAACTTGTTCCTATGCTCCTTCCTCCCTTCCTCACCCCCCGCTCTTTCTCTCTCTTTTTCTTTCTTTCTTTCTTTGACAGGGTCTCACAGGCCTTAGACTCTTGGCTTCAAGTGATCTTCCCTGCTTGGCCTCTGAAAGTGCTGGAATTACAACTATGAGCCACCACAGCCAGCCACCTAATTTCCAATGGTCACACTGTACCTTCCAAAATGTCTGAGTAAGCTCCTTTCCACACCTTCTCCCATGTCTGAAGCATCACTTATAGCCCGAAAGTTGTTTTAGTCACCACAAGGAGCCTCTTTTAAGCAAGCTCTGCTTTGTAAAATTACCCCTTAGGCTTAGAGGGGTCTACAATTCTATGCCCAAAACAACCTGTCACTGAATGTATTATCTCCTTTCCACACAAGCTTTCGCTTTGTAATTTAAGTACGTGAGTATTAAAAAACTTTGAGTATTTAAAACTTGGGAAGTATTTAAAAGTTATGGCTTAAAAAAGAACACGGAAGAAAAGCTCTGCTAGAATACTCGATCATGGGGACTCCCTCTCATGTTTAATGTTGTGATGGCAAAGTACTAAAAAGATAAATGAATAAGGTATATTCCATTATTAAATTATTTTTGACTTCAGGAAAACAAGATTATCTTGTATTTTCATACTGAAAAGTATTCAGACAACATTCCTGAGAATTTCTATGTTGAGTCTTACATACATCAATTGTTTCAAAAATTGCTAATCAGTAAAATTCAGATCATCTATAAGATAGCACAGAGTAAGGTAAAAGGAAATATGTGGGTCTTAGAAAATATCTGCTAAGAAAAAGAAGAAAAATAGTAACGGTAGCATGGTCCTCCCTTGCTGGTAGTCCAGCTCTAACCTATTTCCAAGGGCTTCTCCTGGATTTTCTTGAGTCTGGAGTCTTACCATCTATTCTGGGCCTGAGTTTCTCTCTAGACACCCTAGTATTAGTAGCATCCCCAAGGAATACTTTTTTTTTTTTTTTGACATGGAGTCTAGTGGCGCAATCTCAGCTCACTGAAACCTTCGCCTCCCAGGTCCAAGCAATTCTCCTGCCTCAGCCTCCTGAGCAGCTGGGACTACAGGTGCATGCCACCATGTCCGGCTAATTTTTGTGTCTTTTTAGTAGAGATGGGCTTTCACCATGTTGGCCAGGCTGGTCTCGAACTCCTGACCTTGTGATCTGCCCGCCTTGGCCTCCCAAAGAGCTGAGATTATAGGCCTGAGCCACCGTGCCCAGCCAGGAAGACTTTTTTTACTCTCATTTGCCCTCTTTCTGGGGTCTGGTATCCTGCCTTGAACCTTAGAGTCCCATTACAGAGTCCCTGCTCCCTGTTAATAAGTCCCATCCTCAGCATATTCCTGACCATCTGACCCTGAACCCTACAGCTTCATGCTCTTGTACCTGTTAGGGTATTCTACAATTTCTGAGTTTAATTGCTGGACTGGAGCACTACTTTCTGCTTGTGTCCTCTCTGGGCATCACATTATATTATATGGATTCACCTTCCTCCTAGGACCTACAGGTGGATAATATAACTCTTCAGGGCTTCTCTCCTTCACTCCAGCTAAGTGGGTCTATTTCTACCTCTCAACTCTTCTCATTCCGCCTCACCTCTCTGCCTTACATAATTGTGTGTCAAGGTAAGACAGAAACTAAAATGAGAGGAATATATGAGGCAAAGAGAAAGTCCTGGGCTTAGACCTCAAAATACTATAAATATGATGTGGCCAGGGGTGTGAGGGATGGTAGAAAACACTGCTGGATGAAGGAAAGAACATGTGAAAAATACTTTAGGATTTTAGTTGACATGTATGCATACTTTCAGCTAGTCATGTGATAGTTGTTATGTTGAAATATTGATTATAACTTCTGGCCATATTAATAGGTGAACCCAGATAAAGGAGCTGCAGTCCTCCTATACCTGCCTGGTGAGATCACAATACTGAAACCCAATGCTCAGTTACAGGTTAAAGATAAAATGGGCCAAAAACCAACCAGGAGCTGTTGTTTCCAAACCATTTCCTACAGAGGAACACAGGCAATTGATGAAATTCAGCTGAGATAACAGATGACTAGGTGAGCCTGAGAATTTATCTTTACATTTTTGCACAACAACCTCACAGGTGAAAGAATAGTGGATTTGCTCCCAAGGTAGAACCAGGTAGGTGGAAGCTTTAGAAAATTACATTTTGATTCAGTCTGTGGTGGAAAGTCATCGAACTGGCTGCTCTGTGAAACAGTTCAGCTCTATGTACTGAGCAGAATCTTGATCAATAAAATGACCATCCATCAGGGAAGTTGCAAAGGAATTTCTTGTAATGGATAAAAAGAGTGAAGCAGATAATTTCAAAGGATTCTTTCAGCTCTGAATTCATGTTTCATTTGTCCTCTCAAAGGTCCCGAGAATTAAATTAATTTAAGATATGCAACTGAAATTGCAGAAGAATGAAAACAACAGTAGCTCTAACAATGATAAGGGTATTTGACAGAGAGTGAATATTTAGTCAATAAAAATACAAGTCAACATTGACCAAAATAATGTGTTTTAAATATTTATACTTACTATAATGAAAAAAATTAAATAAATCAATATGCTTCAGTCAGGAGGTCTACACCTTTTGAAGTTTCTTAGACACACCATCTCTGTGTTTGTCTTCATTCTATGAGAAAACATAAATATCTTAAAATAGCTATAGTCATTCAAACAAACAAACTGAAGATACTGTCTCCAAAAACCCTCTCTGTCATAAGACATGATATGGCAAATAGATTTTCATGCTCCTGGCCTCAAGCAATCCTTCCACCTTGGCCTCTCAAATGCTGGCATTACAGGTGTGAGCCACTGTGCCTGGCTTAGATTTTCACAGGCCAGTTTACTTTTCACACTGGGGCACATTCTGGCAAAGTTGTATCTACAGGGCCCCACTCATATTCATTAAACCATACTCACTCCCTGAACTTCTTTTCAATTACAGGGAAGTTCCTTCAGAAATTTAAACACAACGTATTTTAAAATTCTGTATCTATAACACTTAGATGAACACTTAGTTTTTCTAAGTAGTCGACATATGTTAATTTATCTCACTCATTCCTCATACACAGTTGTTCTTATTTGCATTTTTCAGATGGCTTGTCACACCAAGTGATTTCTGTACCCATATTTAAAACCAAACATCTATCCAAATAAGTCTCAGTGCTCCTAAAATTTAGCCTACCAATCTCATTAGAAAAAGTGACAAGTTAATACACCTTTCCAGATACAGCTCAGAAATATGGCTGAAATTACTGGAAATTATGTTATTATTAAACATACTTAGGCTTTATATTTGTTTAATTTAGAGGTTAATAATACCCATTTGTAACATTTATAGTTCAATAATTTGTGATAGTTAAATTACATATATATTGATAATTTGAACTGTGAGAAAATTGTAAAATGCTAGAATTTGTTTTTAATTGAATGTAAAAATTATATCTTTTAGTACCTATGAAACCTCAAAAAAAAGTTTCTAGGGAGGTTTTATATTATACAATCCGTTTTAAAAAGTACTTCAAATACTCCTAAGAGTACTGACCCCAAATTGTATTTAAGATATTTTTAGCAATAATCTTGTAAGCTTGTCATTTCAAATATCAAAAAGCTGGGCATGTCCGAAACTTACTTTGGGTTTACCAAGTCATGTGCAAAGCCTATTTTACAATTAGTCACCATCCAGCATCAAATTGTTTTGAAGGTTAGAAAGCACACTTAGTATGTATAAGAACCTAGCTGTATACTAATTCATAATTACATGGCACCACTGGAGTAAGAATTTCTCATTCACAATTCACAAGCCTTTATAAAAGTCTTACAACATATATCACATGACTGCATTTATGTGCACTGAGCATGATAAAGACATCTGATGTGTGAAACATTTTACATATTCTTTCACAGCAGCTGCATTTGTAACATGCCAGAAAAGAATTTATTGCATAATTCAAAAATGCTACTCAGCCATGATTCTTTTTATACAATACAGTTCTCCTTAAATATCAGAAATACACTTTCTACTTTATTAATAATTTAACATCTGTTTTTCTACCTTCAAAGCATGTCTCATTTACATTAATTTGTTTTATACTTAAAACAAGCCACTGAAATAAATAGTATTACTCTTTATGTTTATATGCATAGAAATTAACGCAGGCTCAAAGAATTTACCTTGCCCAAGGTGACAAAACCTGCAAGAACTAAAGTTGCAACTGGAACCTAGGTCCTCAGACTCAAATCCCAACCTCATGCACACCAGACGACATGGTCTCAGTCAATCCAATTAACAGTCTTAGGTCTCTCAAAAGCTGAAGAAAAAGCTAATTATCGCTCTTTCCCAACTCACCCAATATCTGCATTATAACTGGGTTCTATTATAATCTTTTGAATAAGGATGTAAATCTAGTTTTCTGTAATGTCTTCCGTTACATACAATCTACTTTTTCAGCTAAACATTTTCCTACTAAATATTTTCTACTGAACTAAAACTTAATATTTAAATATACAGCATCTGGATTTAAGTATATATAAAATATCTCAGCATTCCTATATATAAAATGATGCTAATTTTCCTATGAAGTGCTTGACTAGAGAGTTTAAGCATAGCTATCCTTTGTCATTATGCCATTTAATACTGTCTGTCCAGGAAATTGTTTCCAGACCATATTTTGGTAAACAATGGTGACTCAATCCAAATAAGATCTCTATTTCTAATATACAAACACACTAAATCATTCCAAAGAAATGTTAAGAGTAATGGATTTTGCAGTTCTAATCCCATTCTTTCAGCTTTTAAACCTCATTAAGAAGTCATAAAAGCTTTTTCAAAACACATGAATTCACTGACAATCTTACTCCAAAGTCTCTAAGACTGTAAAATCAACATTCAAGTTAGGCATCAGTACTTCCCAGTAGTCCTTATTTTACTTTGAAAGCATTTCTAAAATAACAAGTGAAAAAATAAACAAATGATGATCAGATGGTATTTAGTGTCATTATATACTGAGAACTGGAGGCTACTTCAAAGATCTGTCTCTGACCCCAGGCAGGGATTATAGCCGAACAATTCCAAAAAGTGGTTCTCTACATTACTCTCATTGAACACTGATTTAAAAATCACCTTAGAGCCCTTCAAAATGTTTAGTGCTACTTCCCATTAAGATGTTTTTTGGGACTAACATATATCTAACTGAAATTTAAATTCACCTTTTGTTGAGTTCTTTCTCCAGGAAACAATGCATCAGTATCTCTGATTAATTTGCCCCCTTTCTTTATGCTAAGTAACTCATTTAACCACTCTTGAGAGATTTAATGACACGCATTAAACATTTTCAAGTACCTAAATGATCACCAGCAGTAACATTTGATATACCAGTTTCCTTATGTCCCTTTCCAGTTCTTTCAGATCGTTAGTACAGTGATTTTCAAATAACAAACACACTTCCCAAACTCAGTTGTAGTTTTGAGACCTAGATTTTTCTAATAGTGGTTCTCTAACATTAATGGACATAAAAATCACAAGAGCTTATTAAAACATCACATGATGAGTCCATCCCTCCGAGTGGCCAATTCATAAGGTAGGAAGTAGGTCTCGAGAACTGCATTGCTAACAAATTCCTAGTTCATGTTGATGCTGCTGGTCCAAGGACCACTTTTCAAGAATCACAAATCTAAGACAGTGATTCTCAATCTCAGCTTCACCTTAGAACCTCTTGGGGCACTTTTAAAAGAAACCTAAACCCAGGCCTTACTCCCACAGAGCAAGTCAATTGGTCTAGGAGAGGCCAGATTTTTTTTTCCTCCAAGTCTCCCCAGGAGGAGAAAGCTTACAAGATAGACAATAAAGTTATCTGAGAAAAGTGCCTATCTTTTAAGTCTTCATGGAAGTTGCACTAGACATCTAGGATGCTCTCTCCACTCTACAGACTACAAAGTAACAGATACCATCTCCACATGAACCCTTCAGAGTCTCAGAAATGTGAAGCGGTAGAACAGTGAATCACTGAGCTATGGAGATATGCAGGATGGTTTGTGGGAGGAGGGATTAGAAACAAAGGGAGCGGCTGAAAGCCTATTTCAATTATGTGGGTGAGAAATAATAAGGGTAAAGTTTATAATATGTTCAAAAAGAAAGCCAAGAATAAAATAGTCAAGGGAAATTAAAATTCAGTACCACCTATAGCAACATCAGATAAAGAGGTCCACGCAGAGGCAGGAGTCAAGTGGATTCAGATTTTGATCCTATGATATTATAGTATCTTACACAGTTTCTAGCACATGGGGCACAATAAATATTTATATAACAATTAAATGTACAAAATGAAAAAGATCCCCCAACCATTCAAACTTTTAGGGTGTATTCAGGGTGACAGAGCCTTTCCCAGGGAGTGGCAAGAACTCAGCAGCAATAGAGATGGGAGGGTTTTTGCTAACTGTTCTGCATATTCCAAGCCTTAATGGCTTAAGAAAAAGTTTTATTTCTTGAGATTCTGTGGGAGGTTCTTTCACTTCATAGTGTTGGCTGGCACACTTTCCAGATGGTTGGAAGGTACAAAATGTCCTCATTCCTTAGGCTGGTCGTTGGTGCTAACTGCTGGCTGGTAACTCCTTCATGTGAGACTCCATGTGGCTCTTTGAGTGTCCTCACATAGCATGGTGGGTGGGTTCTAAGACAATACATTCCAAGCACAAAAGTAAAAGCTATAGCTCTTGTAGGGCATAGGCTTGAAGCTACACACTGACACATCCACCAAAATCTACTGGCCAAAGGAGTCATAAGTCCAGTCCAGATTCAAGGGGAAGGGAAGTGGACTCCACCTTTTAATGGGAGGAGTGGCAAAGAGTCTCCAGCCATGCTTAATCCACCACAGTCTACTCTCTGGCCATGCAATGATTTACATTCCTCTTACATGCAAAGCACACTAACACTTTCTCAAGATCCCCCCCAAAACTTCATCCCACTATGGCATCAAGTTCAGGCTTGAAGTCCAGGATCTTGTCATCTAACTCAGTTCCAGAAAGCTGTGGGACAAGACCCTTGAAATTATTAGAAGCCCTACCATTTAGCTGAGAAGTTCTATGAGGCACTGCCTTCAATCTTTTTAAAGTTTTAATAAAGGGTCTTACAGCTATGCCTTTACTTTTATTTTCACCTTGAGACCATGTTTTACTGGCAGTAATGTTCTGGATCTGATCTTCTGATCTTTGGACCTGAGGCCATTTCTTTCTTTGAGTATCTTTTGCTGGGTAGAAGAGCTGGGGATGAGAAACAGTTGGATTTACAATCTGAGAAAATTCAAGATTGGAAATACTTCCTCTAAAGTCTGCTTAAAATCAAAATAGTTTCTTCTTTAATTGGTCTCTTTCTTGAAATACTTTGATCATAGTATCAAACAAAAAGAAAAAGGAGTTAAAAAAGGAGTTAAAGGGGTCACTCGGAGCTTCTGATATTTTGCTGGAAAATCTCCTAAGCTAGATCCACAAGTTCATTAGGTTCATTATCTATGTTCCACGTTACTGCAGGTGATGGTCTTGCTGACTTTTTTCTCAATATAAAGCAAGGGTACCATCTGACATCCTCCAACAGCAACAGTATTCTAACTGCCCTTCAGGCCTTCACTGACACCT